CAGGCACCTATGATCAAAGACAGCTAGTCTTTTCATGTCTTCCACTCTCAGTGGCCAGGTCTCACAACCATAAAGGAGGACGGAGCGGACTGATGAGCAGTACACCCGCCCTTTGGTCGATAGTCGAACATCTCGTCTACGCCAGAGTCGGCGTAAACTAACAAATGCGAAACGAGCCCCTTGTATTCGTGCTGAGATTTCGTCAGAGATCAACCCGTTGGGGCTGATGGTACTTCCCAAATAAGTGAAGCGGTCAACGTGCTCTACCACTTCACTTCCTATTTTTAAACTAGGCGTCGATGTAGTCCAGTCCTGTAACATCATCTTGCATTTGGCGGGAGCGAATCGCATGCCAAACATTCGTAGATTGCGGCTCAAGGTGTTTAGAAGACTCTGCATTTCGTCAGCGTCTTCGCCTAGAAGGACTATATCGTCTGCATATTCCAAGTCAACGAGATTATTCCCCGGTAGCAAGTCAATCCCTGAGTCGCTGAAGTCACCTAGGGTTAAGTCCATTAACACATCTATGATGAAGTTGAATAGAAAAGGAGATAATGGGCATCCTTGACGGACACCACTGGTCGTCATCAGTTCAGATGACAGCTCGCCGTAAGCCCTCACCTGGCTGTATGAGTACGAGTAGAGTGCCTTAATCAGTGCAATATATTTTCTCGGAATTCCCTTTACAGCCAAGCATCTCCAGAGAACTTCCCGATCGACAGAGTCGAATGCTGCCTTTAGGTCAAGAAATATAATGACTGTTGGACGCCGGTAGGAATGCCTATGTTCTAGAATCTGTCGGAGGGTGAAGATATGATCAATACACCCTCTTCCTGGTCTAAAGCCTGCCTGGCTCTCTCGTGTTTGTGCTTCCCGAGCACCACTCAGTCTACGCATGATTATTGAGCCTAAGACTTTAGATACTATATTAGTCAAGCTAATCCCTCTGTGATTATCACAGGAAGACTTGTCTCCCTTCTTGTATATGGGGATAATCAGTGACTTACACCAACCCGATGGGACTTCTTCTGATTCCCAGACGCTGCCTAGTACCTCAGTTAATCCGGACAGTAAGCTGTCTCCACCGTACTTAAATACCTCTGGAGTCATTCCATCAGGTCCCGCTGCTTTGCCTAGTTTCAGATTGGTGACAGCTTTAGTAACCTCAGTTAGTGACGGAGGACCTGTGTTTATATCCCATTCAGGGAGGTGTTGGATGCTCGGAAGGTTGAGCGTGGCTGTGGGCAAATTAAACTGCTCCTCATAATGCTCTTTCCAACGATCCAGTCGTCTATCCTGGGAGCTAATTATAGTGCCATTTTTTTCCGAGATTGTCTCACTGATGATTTGTCTTCTCCCACCCGTTTCCCTGATGAGTCCAAAGAGTTGCCTGGTGTTGCCTATCCTCGAAGCTTTCTCCATCTCTTTGGCTTTTGTCGCCCACCACTGTTCACGGTCCTTGCGGAGACTTTTCGTAAGTTTCCTCTTGTGCAGCTTTCGCTCCTCATTGAATTCGGAGCTCGCCGGAATAAGTCTTCTAGCATCTATCAGTTCGGATGAGGCGGTGGAGATCCAGTGGTTTTTACTCACCTTTGGGTTTACCTTATTCACAGCTTTTACAGCTGTATCTATGGCTGCCTGGATATTTTTCCAAGCTTCTTCAGGGTGAGCACAGCTGTCGAACACAGATATGTGTTTAGCTAGTTCTTCCTGAAATACGGATTTAGTTTCCTGATCGAGCTGGGGACGTGATGGTTTTACCGCCAGCTGTTTCCTACGTCCGTTCAGTCGTAAGCACACCCGAGCGCGGACCAGTGCATGGTCGGTATCTACGCACGTGTTCCAGAAGGAGCGACAATCTCCTACCGACCCACGCCAACGATAGCTTATTGCTATGTGGTCTATTTGTGTCCAGCGTTGGTTTGATGAAGGGGGTCTCCAAGTCAAACAGTGTCTCTCCTTGTGTTTAAAGTTAGTGCTTACAAGAAACAAATGATTATCAGAGCAGAACTGTAGGAGACGGTCACCGTTGTCGGTTCGCTGGCACGGAGCTCCATAGGTGCCACCGACATCCTTCTCAGATTGACACAATTTCCCTACTTGAGCGTTAAAGTCACCAGCTAGAACGACTATGTCTGAGCGTTTAGCCTTTCTCACCAAACTAGACAGCTTTTGGTAGAACTCATCCTTCGTTTCATCTGAACTGCAGTCAGTGGGGGCGTAGGCGGAGATTACGAAAAGGCATCGGCGAGTAGTGCAGTCCTTCCTCCTTCTTACTGATCCGTTCAGGCGGACAGCACACATTCGGCTATCTACCGGGATCCAGTCAAGCAATGTCTTTTCTGCCCTAGTACTCAAAGCTATCCCTACGCCAGCTAATCCTCGTGAACTAGCTGTGGCATCTCCTGACACCCTCAAGGTGAATTTTGCAGATTCAACCTGTTGGCCAGGTGGGGTTAGGTGAATAACCACACTTGGGTCTTGTATGCGTGTTTCTGAAACACAGCATACATCAATGGCTCGTGATGCCAGGGTCTTGGCTAGTGATGCTTGTTGTCCTATTTGGCAAAGTGTCCTAACATTAAGAGCTCCTATATGAAATTGGTGGCGCGGCTTTAAGAGGCTGTCGGTGGTGGTTTTTTGGCTTCCATCGTTTTTAGTGGACGCAGAGTGGAGAGGAAGTGGAGAGCTATCAAGTCGAGGAGTTGCATCAGTGGAAGGAAGGCAAGATGATAGAGATGAAGATGAAGACAAAGATGAGTGAGTAATAGAGAGGTTTCGTGTGCATTTCGGATTGTGAGGGCGATTGTTACTTCCCGGCTGCCCACACCGTGGAAGTTGGTTGCGTGACCGCAGAGCCCAGGGGACAACTGCTTGAGGCCGGTCACACGCGGCCTGTTTTTGTTCGTTCTTTTTTGTTTGGTGTGTCTCAGTAGCAGATTTATCACTCCTGCCCTGTGACACGGCAGCAGGAAGCGCGGTCGTTGTTAATCCGGGCCACGGCCGATCCGGCATGAAATTTTGTGATTTTGTATTGGACATGATGTTGGATTGGGTAGCTGCTTTTTGTTTAACCGCTATCCAAACAACCTGCCTGGCATGGTAGTACCTCAAGAGACATAAGTCTCAGCCAGTATAGCTTGAATAGATCATTGCGGTGTTCAAGCCCGACCACCACGTCAAGGTAGCAGCTTTCGGTCGGGGGGCAAACTATAAGGAATATGAATGCACAGAATATGTAAATTAATAAATTGTAAGAGAAGAAGTGAGGTTGAGTTATGCCAGCAGATAGTCTCAACTTTTCCAAGAAATCAACTGGATACGAGACGACCAACAGAGATGCAAAGAGAAACTGATGCCCGTGATAAGAGGTATTCGAAAGTTGTGTGGGTAGTGTCTTGCTATGATTATGAGTAGCAGTAATAAAAATTGTGCTCGAAATGTGGTCATCAGGAAATATTACTGCTGTATAACACACTCTGTGAAACTCTATCGAAATAAAATTTTTTCCTTCATGATGGAGCTTTACTTGACCACAGTGCTGAAGTTGTTCTGCTTGTCTTATTCTCTCTCTCTGTCTCTTGTTTATAAATTTTGTTCTTGTTCAGTGATGAGAAACTTTGTTGCACTTTTATCGTTGTTGTTGTTTCTCTTATGTGTCTCAACAGTGTTTCTACGTGTACAGTATGTTACTATATGATATTTAATAGGCTAAATGTAAAAAACTTTTAAGTAATGGTTTACGGCGTTTTTTTCCAACATCTAGGCTTTACTAAGCAGTTTTGCTAAACAGTTTAACAATATATCTGGCGTTACTATTGGTGATGAATAATCGTCATCTATTGATGTGTGTTTGTCTGTAGAGGTTGATGTTTAGTGCTTCCTGCATACAAGGAAAATTGACCTTTTATTTAGCTTCATCTATACTGTAATCATTATACGATACAGCAGCTGCATTTCTTATATTTAGGTTTGCATTTGCCAACAACTCACGCCATTTCTGGGGGTTTAGTATGCATGATATCCAGCCATGTGTACTGCATAGCCGCAGTTGTCTTCGTCCTCCTTTATGGCTAGCTGTGAGTTAGGCATGAGAGACATTGGTGAAAGTGGAAGACGTGATGAAAAGGCCGGCCAACTAGCTATCTTAGATCATAGGTGGTGTTTAGTTGTTAGGTGTAATGGGGTGAGTAATATTGAGGTGGAGTTGAGGCATCCATCGAGCGATGTGCTAGTTAAGGATGAAGAAAATTTCCGAGGTTGTGAAGCAGTTACATTGATTGAGTGAGATAATAAGGGCTTGCGTTTACGCATGCCTGTCATGGCCATCGGCATCGATCGCCTATCTCGACTGACAGGAGATGTCAGCTTAGCTGACATAGGATGGATGAGATTCAAAATGAGCTAGCTAGCCAGCACATGGAGGTATTCAGAAAAGAAATGGCTTCATCAGTCAGTGAAATCTGTACTCACAGTTAGTTTAAGCCAACCAACCAACCAACCAACCGCGTAGGGAGGTGTCAGGCAGGCAGGCTGACTACCTGGGGTCCTCGGAATTGATGGTAAGAACCAATGAAGGCTGGAGACAATTGGTAGTGATATGCCTGGCTCAAAATCGCCGTTCTCATTGATGGAGAAGATTCATTCACAGTCTTTGTCATTTGCCATATCCCCTATAAAACTCTATTGTCCTTCCTCTATGTCACTGTTGCTTTTCCCTTACCCACACTTGTGTTCACTATTTATCTCTCTTTTGAATCTCTCTTCTCTTGCTTTCTGTACCACATGGAGGCAGAGTGGTAGATCGGAGTGGTGGATATCTGCGCTGTGCAAAGTTCTATGTCGAAACCAGTCAGTCAGTCAGTCAGTCAGTTGGTAGTTTGTCTGTGTTGAGGACATCTGAAGCATTTTAAAGTTTAGTTTATTCTTTAATTATGTAAGTCACTCATGCAAGTTTAATAATTTTCTCTGTGTTTTTATTGTTTTGATCATATTTACAGGATTTTATTATCCAAGTTTAGCAAGTTTAATGGCTAATCGTGTACAAGTAGCCGATAGAAATTTCACTTTTGCTGTGATCAGCGCTGGTGCACATTTAGGGTAAGTATTTTTTCACATCTACCTTTCTCTCTCCCCTCCCTCCCCCCTCTGTTTGTATTTAGCGTTAACCCTTCAAAGAAAGTTAACGCGAAACTTCAAACTTTGACTGCAGCATAGACCACTGGCTGATGTCTGACAAGCTTAGGATGGTCACATTGAAACGAAACTGGCGGCGAGACAGTCAGATCACCAGCGTACCCGACAAAGTTGAATTCTACAGAAAGAGGTAAACCATGCAGGAATGAAAGAGAAAGGAAACGAAACAGAGAACAGCTGCACCCCGAGGGACAACAGTTTTAGTAAGGAAGGCAGAGGAAGATTCCCCCCCCCCCATAACTTTATTTTCTACTTATAACTCGTGTTTTTAAATACCAATTAGGTGTCTCTAAACTTTAAGTTATATTTGTTTAGTCATCTGGTTTTCTGATTTTCATTGACCCAGTTACTTTATGGTTCTTCTTTCTGTCTTGAGTAATCACACTCGTTGCATTGATTTTTTTATTTGCTTCAAGTTATTTGCATTACAAACGCTATCAAGTATGTGCTTGCGTGCATTTCTGTTCATGTGTGTTAATAACCTAAAAGCGAAAGTTATATAAAGCCATTAGATTTCTTCAACCCAATCCGAACTGATCGACACAAGAAGACTGATTCTAGCGTGCTCTGAATATGATGGGGAGGGAAAGCTGCTGAAAAGCAAACTGACAAAAAGTCTTCGCAACAACCGTGAATAATGGTGGGCAACAAAAGCGGAAGAGATGAAAAATACATCAACAGAAGGTAGCACGAGGCTTATGCTTATCAGGGGTTTAGGTGGCAAAAGGCAAATGATAAGTGAGATAATCTCCGAAAAAAATGGCTCCCTAATTAGTTCTCAGGATGGACGACTGGAATATTGGTAGAAGAAACATTTTGAGAAGCAATTTAAGTGGCGTACAGTCACCCCCTAACTTACCGTGCATCCAACACCTCCCGGATGAATGGAATATTAATGCCGGTTGGTCCTCCGCCTCTAACTGAAGTTACAAAAGCTGTCTCTACTGTCTAACGAAGCATAACAGTGGGATTTGATAGAATGGCTGCAGAGGTGTGTAAGGACAGTGGGGACGACTTACTGTTTGGGTTAACTAGGGGACTGGGCAACGTCTGGAAATCAGAGGTAGTCCTGCGTTACTGTAATATATGCAGTAAATATTACTGTACTACACTGTTTGACTTCATCAATATAAATTTTATCCATAATGGAACGGAGAGTGTATTGATCATATCTTCCATATTTCTACTATACTTAATCCCTCACATTTCTGTTTATTATCTCTTTTTTGAATCTCCCTTTACTCTCTGCTTCTTTTGCTTTGTCTACTACATGGATGGGGAATGGCAACCCTAACGGGTGCTGGAAATCTGTTCAGAGTTCTGTGTTGAAACTAATCAATCGCTTTGTGAGTGGTATCTTCATACTTGTGTTGATTACCGGTTTAATTGTAAATTATGCTTTCATCAGACAGGTAGTACGGTGTGTGAGAAGAACCGCGGCTTTCATGACAAGATACCATCGAGAAACCAGGAGGTATTTTTAGCGAAAACTCCCCTCTTCCACCTACAATTTCTTGTCTCCCATCATTAGTATTTGCCCTAGTGCGTCGGTGGCACAGTGGTTAGGATTCTCGCCGACCATGCACATGGTCCGGGGTTCGAGCCCTCGCCGACGCACTCCTGATATCTATGGTCGGCCTGCAAAATTTGGGCTACCGATATCCACGCTGAAAATTCCATACTTGTACCAAAAATACAGTGTGGAGTCAAGCTGTAATCAAAAATTAAATTAAAAAAAATTATGATTGTGTGCAGCACATTTTGGGCATAAAGTCGCAGTCATGATATCATGTTTACGTTGTTACGCACAATTGTTAAGTGTTTTAAATGTGAAACAGTCTTTAAATTTTATTTGTGAATGTCGTTGTTAAACTCACTGTCGAACTCTAGTGAAAATAAATAACAGACTCACTAGTTTCAACGTTGAAGTTTGCTGACAGTCTACACCTCCATACATAGCTCAAATAAACAGTGATAGACTTCTTGAATCTGTGGTATTTGTTTGTTTTGACCACCACCCCTAATTCCATGCCTTCTTCAATCAGGTAATATTGCTCGTCGAAGAAGACAATGGCTTGACATGTGTAACTGTGTGCAAGCCATCTCAATCGTTGTAGCTTCACAACCATATCGATTGACTGAGTGAGTGGTTTCAACATAGCACAGATATGCACCAACTCCGAGCTATCACTCTGCCTCCATGTGGTACAGAAAGCAAGAGAAGAGAGATTCAAAAGAGAGATAAATAGTGAACACAAGTGTGGGTAAGGGAAAAGCAACAGTGACATAGAGGAAGGACAATAGAGTTTTATAGGGGATATGGCAAATGACAAAGACTGTGAATGAATCTTCTCCATCAATGAGAACGGCGATTTTGAGCCAGGCATATCACTACCAATTGTCTCCAGCCTTCATTGGTTCTTACCATCAATTCCGAGGACCTCATTAGGCCAGCCAACCAGGAAGTGTACACCCCCATATTTGACTTAAACAATCTCATCGACCGATTTACCATCCTTATCTATCTCTCTACGTCTGACTTCTTTGTTACTCACCATATTTCGCCATACGACAAGGGATATAGTGCGCAAAACTTTGTATTCAAAGTCAGCCTCTTCATCATATTGGGGGCTTTCCATATTCATTTCTTAAAGCCATGCTATACAGCACTAATGTTGTTCCATCGATAGCCAGCTAGCTGAATATCTCGAATACTAAGCCAGAAATGACGTGAGTTGTTGCCAAATGCCATACAAGCGTTCTGTATCTGTGCGCTGAGATTTCTTCAGCAGCAGTCATCCCGTTGGAGTTGATACTTCTTCAAAATAAGTGAAGTGAACAACACAAAGTCACCACTTAAATCCTTATCTTTAAACTCGGAGTTGGTACAGTCCACTCCTGTAGAATCGTCTTACACATTTGACGGGAGTGGATAGTATATATTATGATAACAATTTTCAGTGTGACTGAACAACTGTTAGTGGTGGTTGATTGGGATAGCCGAAGTAAGTGTGGTACGGCTAAGTGAAAACTAATTACGACGCCAACATTTCGATGCGACTTAGGTCATAGTAGTTATAGTGTTGTGTTCTGAAGAGGCAACTTAGTCAAGTTAGACTTACCTAAAACCTGTCATAACAGTGGTCAGTGTGTATCTAATTATACGAAATTGATCATGAATAAAAGCAGTGATATCAAGCTGTAAATGAAAATTGACCTTCAACCCCCCCACTTTTAGGTAAATCCAGGGTATATTCAACATGTCAACGGCGTTTTTAAACTCCTTTTTACTAAATCATACTCATAATTGAAGTAACAGTAAAGAATAGACACCACAGTGGAATGATCTTGAACCAGATCGCTGCTCAGATGGGTGCTTTTCTTCATAATCTTCGTTACAAGTTTCACCCTGATTCAAGGTTAAGTGTATGGTACGATTAAAGTACGCTTATACATAAGGTTAAAGAAGAAGTTAAAACGAAGATTAGGGTTAGAGTGGAACTTCCAACGAAGATGACGAAATGCATTCATTCGTAGTACTGAGCGGTCTGATTGGTTATTCCAACGTCATTCTCCACTGTTGCTATAACTCGCTCGTCACTGTACATGACATCCTGATTTGTCATACAAATGACTTAATTTGCGCTATGCTACAAAATTGATTCAAGTTATTTCGCTTCAGTCTATGTTAGAAACCAGTTATATATATGCCTGCTATCTATTATACATTCAAAGAGGAAGTGGTTTGACTTCAGTAAATCACTTAGATATACAGAAGTTTTAAGACCAAGTCAAATTCTATTTTTAGAAAAAAGTGTAGATGGAAAATACGGAATTCCAAAGCACCTTCATTCTCATTGTGTCTATGAAATAAAAAGCTTGAAATGTGATGCGATATACATCGGACAAATATCACAAAAAAATAAGGTAATCAGAAGAAACGACCGCCGTAAAGTCGCTTCTTTTCGAACTCCGAGAAATCCAGTCATGAAATATGATACCTGGGAAAACCATGAGCCTGAGGTCATCTACACACTATAGACTCAGGCCACAAAATTGATTTTAACAATATTGAAATAATGCCGAAAAAATTTCAGATATCACAAAGAAGGTCATTCATATTAAATGGAATCCAAATCGCCTGCATGGAAAATTGATGAAATAAAGGAGAATTCGACCTAGTTACAACACAACACCCTCCTCTCCTCCGACCCACAATGAAGTGATAAAATAAACACAAATGTGATAAGCCATTTCATTATGTTAACACATGCTGTTGGTTCCTATAAGTTTATACTTTTATCAGTCTCAACAATCTATAGTCATCGTTTTGTTATTTTTGTCAATTAGCCAACTTGACAACGACGTAAACAGAATTAGCAATTCACGCTGATGAACGATGATTAAGTTGTCGTATATATAGACCGAGATTTTGTTAAGTCTTCTCGTTTAATACTCCTACTTTGATAAAGTTATTGACAGCACATTCTATAGCGAGACGTCTGTAAAAGCAACAACAACATCGTCTTGTCTGCTTCATTCATTCCTTGAGAAATTAAAAAAAAATACCACCGTCATGAGAACGGCCTACTCAACAACACCATGACTAGTTCTCTCGTCTATGAAATATTGAATAATTTTCAGTAAGTCACAGAATGGCTTCTTGAAGAGAGGAACGGTCGAGGAATCTTTCGTTTACAAGAGAAGTAGCTTTTCACGAGACTTTGAAGTACCTGTGTTGCAATCATTATTAAGGAGAAAGTGGACATACACAACTGAGCACTGGGATTATCTTCAAAGTTGATCGTTTATAAGTGATATTTCTCTTCGGGTTAAATACTCAACTCAATAAACAAACAGGTTTATACACTAAATTGTGAATGCAACACCTCCGTCTGAGGAAATAGAATCGAAATTTAGATTATCGGATTTGAATTTAGCTGTTTCCAATTGACAGATTTCGCCGCGGACCAACATCACTTAGACACATTATTATAAACCAGGGAGAACAGTGGACTGCTGTTCGTGTTGTCCTATTTTGGGGTATTCTTAAGAACAACCTCACTTGGGGTGGGTCGAGAACAGGACCCTCAGGTTGTGACGAGAACAAACTCGTTGGCTATTCAGCCAGGTGAGCGAAAAATCAATGACTCGTGGGTTGCAGTCTTGTCAACTCATTATACATTACTGCTCTCACAAATAGCAATGTAGGACGAAACTGCTCCGCGTTGGTCTTCAGTGATCTGCCGAAAACGACGTTGGTTTGTGACGAAATTTAACAACGAGAATAACCAAAATTTTTAACTGTGAATGTGATAATAGAATCAAGTGAGCATTTCTGTGATCACACTCATTTTAATGTTACTTCTTTTGATCTTCCTTGGTCGTCCTATATGATTTTAGTTGTCAGGATGATGTTTCGTTATGTATTCCACGAAACGAAGTTAAGACCATCTAGTTTCACTCAGTCAATCTTTACCTTCTAAGTTTGTTAATTCTTGCATTCTATTTATCCTTCTCTGTTTCGCCTCCCCTCCATCACCAAAATCTTTCCCGGGCTAATTTAGAAATTCTTTATTTGTAACATTATTAATTGCACTAAAAACTGTCGGTCGGGCGAGTGGGGTTCCATTATGGGTAAATTTTGTTTTGATAAAGTTTCACAGTGTTATATCAAGGGCGAGTGGGGTGTCACTAAACCAACTGGTGTTAGTTAATACCAGTGTTGGTTGACACACGGACTCCTGCAAGAGATGAGCAAATATTATCTTGTTAGATGCTGAGCATCCTCTCTATGCACAACTATCTTCTTGCATCTCATCAGATAGATGAAGTAGGAGCAACTACGGAAGACTAAATGCTCTGATGACTAAGTACAAAAACTCTACAATACCTTATTTGGCAGGTACACATTTTATGGGATGAAAAAAGTGTAAGACAGGAAATTACCAATTTTCTGAGGAAGTCCAAGGAGACAGCGCTACTTTTATTTTCCATTATTATATTTTTGTTAGTGTTTCCACCTAATTTAATTTTATATCCATATTATCAATGTTGTCAATGCCGTGTTTTAATTATTTCTCTGTAATGAGAAAGTTATATGCAGTACTGTACTACATAGTGAATATTCCATATTTGTACTATAAAAATACTTTATAGAATAAAGTTTATATTAATAATAAAAAACAACAACTAATGATCATGTGACATTATGGCATGTTCTACTGATGAGATTTATCAGTACTATGCAAAGCGACGTTCATTGGGTACACAAAAATATCAAATCGAGGAGAGATAGATTTGACGTTAAAGAGAGACAGGAACTGAACCATGCGAGACACGAAAACAAGATAAACAAACACAATACAAGGGGCCCACAACACGGAAGATCTGTGCAAATGACGCTTTTCACATCTAAGTGTGTACATAACTTCACTATATAGTGATATCTAATTCCGAACAAACATTCCATTACCACCAAGTCTCTTGCAGTCTACCTTTCCAACATGATATCATTTCTTCCTATATTTGTCCTGTGAATGTGTTTGCCTAAAATCAAAGCAAGAATATTTTTTTTTCTTTTTCTTCTACAGTACCCTTTTATGTGGATCATTAGGTTCCTACTTGGTGACTACAGAAGGTTGGAGGACTCCATTCTGTTTGATTGGATTACTTTTTCTTGCATGGTCTTTCATCGTGTATTGTGTTGCTAGCCGTAGTGCATGGAAGTTACGCAGATTGCATTTAATTCTTCCAAGAATTTTAACAAATACCTATATAGCTAGTAAAGATGTATTGTTATCAAGTCATGGACAACATGATTTAAATGTTGAAGAGAAATTGATGGTTAGTTATAATAAATTAAAAATTTTTTTACCCACCTCTAATAACAACTGTGTTTTATACGCTTTTTCAAGCGTTGGTTTCCTGTGGGGATTTGGCTTCATTGGTTACAGGATTTTCATCATCATGACATAACATCGGTTAGTAGAGGGCACCACTGAAAAACCATCACTAGGAAGTACCGCCAGACAGCTGTTTCTGTCGTCCTAGTGCTTGGGACCCTTTAGCAGTACCTATCCACCGCCAGGACTCGGTCCCGGGACCTACCGGTCATAAGGCAAGCCTGTTTGCAATGGTTATCTAACTCACATCTATCCCTGGTGGTAGAACTGCAAACAAATCAAATCCCTACCAGCAAATCTTAAAAATTAATCTGAACCTCGCTAATGCCAACTGGTTGCTACAGGAAGAAGTTGCTTATAGGGAGTTCTAGTGGGAAGTCGTGGTTAGTATGCGGCCCACCCTATCGGGAGTGAGGACACTGTAAGGTGTCCTGGGTTCAACCGCCTTTTTTGGGTGTGTACTACTGACGAGTCCCCAGCCAGGACAACCGAAACAAGTGTCCATTGTCCATGCTGGTTATCAATGGTCGGTTCTCTAACTTATATCAATCCGTGACTGAACTTGAAGGAAAACTAAAGCTATTTGTTAGCTTAATTTGTTGTGCTATTTTAAAAGTTTAAAGGAGTATTTTTTATTCAATTGTAAATGCGCTTTATGTGTTAGCATACAAATGAACATCTTAACTGATGAGAATATTCATTCACATCAATAGTTGACTTCATTAATATGCAATTATACGAAGAAAGAAACCTATTTATAGTGTTTGTATACACATAAAGTGGATTTTATGTAAACATGATCAAATAATAAAAATCAATAAATCTTATCACCGTACTTCAACAGTGCAAATAGCAGAGGAAAGCGTCGGTGGGTGGTTCAGTGGCAGGACAATTAGCCAACAACGTCTAGTGTGGTCTGGGGTTCCCATCCCCGGCTGCCGACTCTTTATTTAAACCTCGCTTAGTCGGTAGTCAGGCTATGGTAGAGAGGCGGAAGTGTAAGAGTGTGAGGTTAGCAACCAAATCACCCCATAAAAGTAAAAATTGGAAAAGAAAAACTGATAGCTACTGAAACTTCCAAGTACTAATTTGAAGCACTATGGTATTCCACTCGGAACGTGTGAACGCATGAAACAAGAAAAGGATAATACAGGACTGTTACTTCCACACTGATGTTGGTTTGCACTAGAGATTTCATCTTCATGAACTGACATCTGTTAGAGAGCCATTGGAAAAACTACCTGGAAGTACTGCCAGAAAGCTTTTCCTGTCACCCTAGTACTTGGGATTCGACAACAGCACCCACTGGGTTTCGAACCCATAACCTGGTTGCAAGGCGGGCGAGTGAGCTCTTAAACCTTCAAGCCACTGGGACCCAGTGCAGGCACCAGTCAGCCCATAAGTTCCAACTACAGTCAGTTCACGTTGTTGTTGTTGTTGATTTGTTATATTTATCAATACAAACTGTCGAACACAATTAAAAAAATTAATTAACGTCATTAGTAGTGTGAAATCCTAGTGATATATATATATATATATATATATATATATATATATATATATGCACACACAGAAAATGGGTTCTTAGTTTTGTCCCATAGTTCCTACTTGTTACTTGTTTTAGCCGGCCACTAGGGAGGAGGAGGAGGAGGAGGGCGGCAGTTGTTAATGAAAGTCTGCATTAGTCTGTTGGAGATCTTTGCAGCTCTACTATCTCCTCTTTAATACATACCACTTTGTACTAGCCACTCAGCTGACACCTTGTATAACCTTGGACTGACTTGTCAGTTTTCCTATCCCACAGTCTATGAATCTAGTATGACCAATCATCATCATTCCATTTTACAATAGTTTGTAGTCGATTTCAGTCTAGCACGTTTGCCACAAAAATACGACTTTATTTTGACACCCCATAACTAATCTGTTATTCTATGTAAGGAATGTATCAGTCGCATAACTGGCCATTATTGTAACGACAACAGGTATTATATTTTATAATTGTAAGAACCTGAAGAGAAATTGTTGAAAATAATATTCTTCTTTCAGATTAACTTTTAATCTCTCTAACTGATGTTCCTTCGAAGCGAATTCTACGTTGAAATGATTCCAGATCCCTCCGACCGATAGCTACTACGTTGACGTGGTGGTCAAGCTTGCACATCGCGATTACCCAACAAGCTAAACTGGCTGGAACCAATGTTCCTGCAGGTCCTAACATGCCAGGAAGGTTGTTAGGATAGCGATTAGACTGAAAAAAGTTACCGGCATTGTGTAAGAATCTTTCTTACACTATGCTGGGGGGTCTGTAAGCAAAGTCGTACTGCTGGGGAACACGGGTGTAACAGCAGTGAGGTGTTTCCCTCAGATGACCAGCATGCCAGCTATGCTGTTTCTCCACTCTAGAGGCAGGGGATAAAAAAATTGACACCAGCAATTGTATATCCCGACTTACCTTACGGTGGTCCGTCACCTGCTATGGGTATACCAATATGGAACCAAACCAAAAAACTAGTTCATACAGGGCGTGTTTGACCGGCCGGCCTCAAGCAGTTGTCCCCTGGGCTCTGCGGTCATGCAGCACTTACCTTCTTTCTGTTTCAGGAGCCCGAAGAATAAAGCAACTTCCACGGTGTGGGCAGCCGGGAAGTAACAACCTCTCACACACTTCCAAGAGGAGATGAAGCCTCCCCGAGCATCATTCTCCTATACAGATAGACAGGATTCCCCACAAAACGGAGATCTAATTAGCTTATCTTATTACTCAGTTCCTGAAACTCTGAAACTTTTTACAATGCTTTTCTCTACTTCCTCTACTTCACAGCCTTCAGAATCAAAATTTGTGTATATAAAATCAGAAATTTTTCAGAAAAATTTGGCATCTAAATCACATACAGCACCTTTAAATTGGTCCATTCTACTAAGAAATAAGCCATTTTGGTAAGTTACCATATTTTTAATTGGTTATTATTGTGATTTTTATGGTTATTCTTTATTACTCTTCCCTTGGGTTCCGAGTGGAAAATAGAGCTTCAGCAGCACATATCCATTTTATCCTATTCACTACGATCGTCTTTAGCTGGGCCTACGACTGCCCACAGTCTCTCATCTCTTCCTCCTCACACTACCTCTTAGACGTCACCCTCGGGCACCCCAGCTTTACCTTGAATGTTTCTTTGAGCTAGAAGATAGTCTAGGCCCACAACTGCTGCCATTCTTGACTTTGTGCCTAGCAGGATGTGTCTCCACTTTCTTAAACAGCATTGAGATTGTTTACGCTACCTTCAATCAGCAAATCATTTCAGGCACAGAAGTTTGTGAAGAGTTCTCCGTTATCATTCACTTTGCCTAACGAGAGCCTCTTGACCCATGACGACTTTTCGTTTATCGCATGCTCCAATTTTAGCATTCATATCGTCCATAAGGATTTAGATGTCGCCATTCGAGATGTTGTCCACTAATGTTTGCAGTTATCTATAGAAATCTTCATTCTTTTGTTCTGAGCTACTTGTAGGTGCGTAGCATTGGATATTTGTAGCCTTCTTCTTCTCTCTTTTTGAATTGAATCTTGCTGTCATTATCCTGGAGAAGATTAGTTCCCACTGCATAAGAGCGTTGTTTGATATTGGTGATATCATGATAGCCACTCACACCATCATTGTGCTCGTGGTCGCCATTTGGGTGAGTAGATTACTGACTCTCCAGTTGACTATTTGGCTGGTCCACATCCATTCTGTCTGCTCTCGGAAATCGCTAACACTTCCATGCCATATTTCCTTATTTCTTTGGTTGCGGGTTGGCCTTCCCACCTCAGATTGTGTCAATATTCCACGTTCCCATTCTTATATATTTGCCTTATCGATAGAAATAAGCATCATCCGACTGACTCAATTCCCGAAATCGTTCACTGGCCCGCTGTGTCTTTCTTCTCTTCGATTCCAGCGACGAAGAAATTTGTGTTTTATATTTCTAACATTTTTCTTGTGCTTTGAGGTTTCTCTAGCAGTTTGATTGATTTCCCGGAGTACGATCGCTAGCTCCACTCTTTCCGGGCTTGGGTCCGGCTAGAAAACTACACGAGGTTGATCTTTATGAAATATTAGAAAGTTATAATATAAAGCTTTAATGTCAGTAGAATTCTGACATCGTTGAATATATTGCCTAAGGGTTGTTCATAGAATAAGCTGAATCATTTCATAAATGTTAGGATGGCTTATACTTTTTCCTGTATTCACTGTACAGTGGCAGCGGCATTCCGCTCCGTTCTTTATAGCTGGCTGTGAGTCATCCATGACAGACATTGGTGAAAGTGGAAGACGTGATAAAAAGGCTAGCTATCTTCGATCATAGATGGTGTCTGTGTTCTGTCTACCTCTTGTGTTAGGTTAGTTGAAGGGTGTTATATTACGAGTACTATTGAGTTGGTGAGGCATCGGTCGAGTGATGTGCTAGGTAAGGAAAAAGAAAATTCAATGTATTGACCAGGTTGTGAGGCAGTTACATCGACTGAGTGAGATGGTTAGGACATGTGTTACGCATGCCCACCTAGCCATCATCATCTATCGCCTGCCTAGACTGACGGGAGATGTCAAACAAAAACATGGTTTCAGTAGTCAGTCAAATCCATTCCAACAGTCATTTCAAACCGGCCAATCAGCCAACCAAACCACGTAGGAAGGTTGGAGTCCTCAGGATTGACGGTAAGAAGCAATGAAATCTGGATGTATGGCTGGTGATATGGCTTGAAATCGCCATCCTCAATGATGGCGAAGATGCATTCACTCTTCGTGTAATCTCCTATTTCCATTGAATCTTCATGTGTTTTTACATGTTACTTTTCTCAATGTGCACATTTCTGTTTATTATCGTCCTTCTGGATCTCTTTATTTGTCCACCTTTTTGTTCTACATTGCGTGTATGTGGCAACTTGAAGTACTTCACTTCTGTGTCAATGTCTATGTTGAAACTGAGTCAGTTAGACAACCAGTAGCATTCCCAGCGGGGAGACGTTTGTAACAGTGTGTGGCATCTCTAACTAACTAACTAGCAATTGTTATTTGTATTCGTTATTCAAATAGTAAACTCATCAGTAATATAATTGGACAATTGTTTTTTGTAGGGATTTCATCATGATGAGTTGACATCGGTTAGAGAACCATTGGAAAGCCAGATGGGATTACTGCAAGACAGATGTTTCATCTGCCTAGTTTGGATTCGCCCGATAGCAGTGTGTACTCAAGGTTCGAAACCAGGACCTTCCAATTACAAGGAGCTATTTTGTGGACCAGGAAGCCACTGGAACCCGACTCCGGGACCAGTCCATTAATTCTAACTTTTACCAATTCGTGACCATTGGGGTACAGTAGATTGTTGTGAGGATAAACACTCGCCACTGATGATGCTGGCTAGTGCCAATCGCGCTATATCTTGCATAAATTGGCAGAAGTTGGCATTCATGATCTGGCTGGTCACTGGATTGGCAGATTCCAGTGGTTTAATAATCGATCTACAAGCTCACTGACCTTGTAACCGAAAGATCCTGGGTTCGAACCCTGGTGGGGTGAATGCATACTGCTGAAGCGGAGTCCCAACTAGGCAGACAGAAATAGTTACCTGGCCGTACTCCCTGCTGGTTTTCCGATGGTGTTCTCTAACCGATGTCAGCTCATCATGATGAAGTGCGACGTTGAAATATTTCAAGTGATCATTGTATTCAATATGGTGTTAAAGGTATAAAAAAATGTTTTACCCTTTATCCTATTTCTCACAGGGTCATGCTTTTGGCTAATTTTGTACACAATAATACCTTTTATATCATTCTCAACTGGTGTCCTACCTACTTTCATGACAACTATCCAGATGCACGGGTAAGAAATTTTACTAAGTTAGATGCTGGTATTTTCGCACATTTCTTCCCGCAGCATACTGTTTTGCCTTGTGATTGTTTTCATTCTTGTAGATTTTGTCGAGTTCGGACATTTATGGTGTGTTTGGTATAATTTCAGTACTACTTATTTTTATTGGGCATTAGTAACTAGTGTGGTGTGTCTAGTCCTTTGTTTGGTGCAGACTGAATGGTATCAGTCAGGTGTTTGCAATGTGGCCACCATTCTAGGTAGCTCGCCATCACGGCGTACTTTGGATTATTGATGTTAAATGGTTGGAGACCATGGACATAAAGCCTTGGATCTAGGTTTCGTGCTAGTAGTTTGCACTCGTTAGTAAGGCGTATTTGCAACCCTGAATGAACTCATATTCCTTCTGACCAATTGATAGAATTCAGTCTGCACCAAACAAAGAACTAGACACATCACACTGGTTGCTAGTGTCCAATGAAAGTCCTACAGGAGGTCAATCGCGAGCCCGAATAGCTCAGTGGTAGTAACGTCTGTAACTACAGCACTGAGTGACGCGGGTTCGAACCTCAGAAGGGACATTAATTCGTTCAAGGTTGTAGATGTGCCTTGCTGTGACCGATGAGTGCCAACTAGCACGAAACCTAGGTCAAGCAAGGCTTCCTACCGAATGCTTCCAACCATCTAACACTATTTATTTTTCCCTATATCCCTCTAAATAGACCTATAATAATAATGGCTTTATTCTGAACAGAGTTTATATCATCTGCAGAATATTCAGCGGAGTTTATTTCATAATTTTCCTCTTCGTCTAGGAGCATCAAATAACAAAGACTAATTGACTGACAGTAGATCGTGTGATACAGCTCTGTCTGTCTCACTTGAAGCACAAACCAATTCATCATGATGACACTGCTTCTGCTGTCTCCTTCGAGAAGTATACAACGGCATTTTGTTGAATGCCAGTTGTATAAACAGTTCGGAAGTATATTTTGATGAACCGACGACAACACCATTGAGGAATGGTTATCTCATGTATGGGCATAATTTGCCATCCATCGAGCTGGATAATACTTTTTCTCATGTTTAGTAGAGAGATGGGAATGAGCAGGTTGTAAATGTTTTAAATATTCGCTAGTTGAGTAAACACAATACTGTTGGAGGCCATAATGCGATATATTGATGGAGGTTTGTTTGCATAGCTCAAGTGTTAAGCAGACTCCTGGTGATTATTAGTAGTAATGTTTGCTGCACACTATCTGTCAGCTTTCAGGAATCCTGATTGCCTAATCTCTTTGTCCACTTCCTACTTTACTTTTAGGGTATTCCTGTCATGGGTAAAATCATAATAATATTAATAGTAATGATTTGCATTATTGCAAAACACTACTTATGATAGAATGTGGTTGAATGCTCAGCATTTTGTACAATATTTGTAGTATCTGATTTACACGACAAAAGGAAAAACAAAAACAGGAAATCTGATACAACAGGATTGAAATTGACAGGTCACTGTTTTTGGTGCTTGTAGTGACTGATGAAGAGTCCCATACTAGGACGAAATGGCTGTCCAGTACTCCCAGGTTTTCCAGTGGTTCTCTAACTGATGTCAGCTCATGATTCAATCCTCCATGCAATCAAACAAAATCCCTACAAAACCAATACTTGAAAAGTCAAAAATGTACAAAAGTGTAAAATATTAATAATGTTAATAGCTAGTCACCTTATTAAAATAGTGTTACCATAAATAACTGATAGGGGAGAAAAAAAGAGCTGATTATTTTGCTAATAAGAACACAATAAGAGTTGTAGGTTTCTTGCTTAACTTCATGTTATTTTTTTGACATCGGATGATGACGCGCCAAATATGATATCATTGGGTTTCTGTATTCAGTTGTATGAATGAACCCTACTGACAACCTTTAATACTCTTCGAAATATGATATCGTTGTTCTCGAGCAACCCAAGAAAGACTGAATGCGGGTGAGCAGTAAAAACAATAAGTAGGACTCCAGACTTATCAGACTGTAAAAGTAAAGGTCGAGTAATGACTTATTTTATTTTTGATTACAGCTCGATTCCACACTGTATTTTTGGTACAAGTATGGAATTTTGAGCATGGATATCGGTAGCCCGAATTTCGCAGGCCGACCATAGATATCAGGTGTGTGTCGGCAGGGGATCAAACCTCGGACCATGTGCATGGTCGGCGAGAGTCCTAACCATTGTGCCACCGACTGATTACACGATTGTCTTAACTTCTTAATCTAGTTGGTTAGACGGAACATTTTCTCAGAAATCGACAGGATATGAGATGACCAAGAAGGGTTTACGGATAGAACTATTCCGAGGTATTTTTTGCTTGACTTAGTTTCTATTTCACTGCCCTGTATGCTACCAGCGTTTATGTAAATGAACCAGTTCATGCAGATCACGTTTATGCCTCCTAAAGGGGAAGTTAATAATAGTCTGACATTTGGAGGAATTTAAAGTAAGACTAGATCAGTGTCAGGTTGATGTCCGACAAAATGACTATTCAGTTCGAGAAAGCCAGGCTGGACGAAACAGACAACGAGATAGTCAGCGTCTTTGACGAAGATGATTTCATTCGAAAGAAATAATTCATATAAGTAGAAAGAAAAAAGAGGAGAAAGCAGAGAGAACAGCACCGGCTTCAGCCGGTAAGCAGGGTAGAGAAAGATTCGCTTTTATATACAGTATACTAATGCATTATGTTTGAAAAATACGAATGCGTTCAGTTAACAGCGGGCAAGGAAATACTGATAACTGCTGATTTCTGAAAACATAAACGGCATTTCCGGTGTTTGATGTAGATTGCTTCAGAAAGAGAAGTAAACTATGAAGTACGTAAGCGGTATTGGTTCCTCGGAAAAGAAGGAAGACTGAGCTTAAGTCTATCAACACAATCACCCGCTGCTGCAACTTCGAAGCGTGAGCCTTTTTCTTCCCCTCCGAAACGTGAGGAATGTAAAGAAGAGTTATTGAGTGAACAATATATTGTCGGTTCATTTTACCATAGATCTAACTCATCATTTAAATATTCACTGTTCTTGTAAATCTTACAAACAGCCCACTCATTGAAGTGTATAATAACTCAGCTATTGTTTGAATAAAGAAAAATGGTGGGTGTGAATAGTAAAGTAAGATTATAAGATAGGCAAAATAATTTAGTAGTGAGTTGAACTCACTAAATGAAAATCAAAGGTGGAATTAAGTGGAATTATAAAGAAACAGGACAAACACACAAAACAATTATGGTTACCAGGGTAGTGAGTGAGTGATTAGTCACATTATCTTTCTGTATACAGAGGTTGGGTCAAAGTCTTTTGATGGTAGCAGTGGTTTCTTCGAATCTATGTGACTACAGTTTTCTTTGTGTATTGATTATCTGGAAAGCCTTACTAATTTCCACTTTAAGTTCCGTATTAGTTAGGTATTGTCTGGCAATTGCATTTGAGAACACCTTGCTATCTTTCAAACAGAGACATTTAGGGATATGGTGGAGAGATCCAGTAGGCGCCCTTTTCCTGTCAGTCTTTCGTATGTACTTGCTGTCCCAATTGCAGGTGAATTGGTAAATGCAGTTGGACTTGAAGTGCAGAGCAGTAGACTTATCTACAGTTAACTGAGTTAACGAGCATACTGTGTCACAAAGTGGAATGAATCTGTCTGCCGGAAATGTTCCTTCCAATGCACCTTTTAGTCCGTTTTCAGTTCTTGTAGATAGATACTTCTTCGCAACTATTTTGGGTTTCGGTCTTGGTGTTTTTTCTTCACTTTCATATTTTGGTAATAACTTTCTAGGGTATCTATTTTCGATTAGGTCCTTTTTTGATGACTGCGAGTTCCTCTTCTATCTTATCTTCTAAACACTATATTCTAGCTTTGCCGAAGAGTGTTTTCATCACCAGACTTCATTTGTAGCCGTATCTGAACTCTACTACCCTTGTGTTACTCTTTTTAACACTGAATAATTCGTCTACCTACATCATCTTTGGAATTATTTTGCCTATATCGTCTGTCTATAACTCGAAGTCACTGTGAAAAAAAGTATGTTCAGACACCATTTTGCAACTTATAATTGATTTTGTTTAGAATGTAAGCATTTGGAGAGAGAGAGAGAGAGAATCGACGAAATTAAACGAACTTGTAGTATCCTGTCTGAAAACACGTTCATTCCTTCTTTACACAAACTAATAAAGTGAATCGGCTGTGTGAAACAACAGAACAACAGCTTCATAATTTGATGAGTTCACGTCCTGATATCGTATTTTTTTACCCATCCACAAAGCCGTTTACGTATTTATAGATTACTGTTTGTTTCCATTCTCAATCACAAATCTATACCGACTTATTAGATTATTTATTTATTTCATGTTCCTAATAACGGAATGTGAAGGGCGAAGGAGAAAGAGAATATGTGGGTGAGTAAAGTGGGTGAGTGGGAAAAAAATCATATGATAGGCAAGGTACTGTGTTAGATTATAGGTCATGCAGGTGGTATTTTACGTGATTATAAAAATTAATATATTTTTCCAAAATATCCCATGAAAAATGTTGTGTTTATGCTCTTTCTCTCTGTCTCTCTCTCTCTCTCTCTCTCTCCCTGGATCAATAATAATAATAATTCGTGTCAGGCACAAAATAGTAGGCTTCGTTTTTATTTCTTTACACACCTTGTGTATGCCTGGGATCTACAAGGAAATTATTTAAATAATGTGTGTAGAATGCAATTATTATTATTTGTCATTGATTAATTCTTCAGAACATTATATCAGATGAACAGGCTTCTATCCTAGAAAAAATTACCACAGATGAAGCCTATAAAATATGGTCAAGAGTACTTGATTACAAAAGAGGAGAGGCAAATATAACAGCTGACTGGTCACTTCAAAGGACTTTTGAATCGACTATCACCTGCACCTCATCTGGCAATACCACGAACAGCATGCTTAGAAGAACCAGTGGACACCACCATCCATCCAACAAATTTTGAATGCAATCAAGCTCCTGGAAGCCTGCCGGGAAGACAGTAGGATCAAAAGGAATCCCTTCTGTAGCACTGAAAACAGATGCAGAAACTGCAGCGGATATACTTACACCGTCAATGCAAAAAGTTTGGAAGAGAAGAAAGGTAGCTATTGATTTAGAGAAGAAAGACCACCTTGTGAAACTGCCAAAAAGGGCCATTTAGGCTTCACTCTGCAAGAACTGGCGTGAAATAATGCTATTGTCCACACCAAGTGAATGCTGTGTTATCCTGCAAAGAATAAATGACAGACTGATCGCAGATATCCGTCAGCCGGAACAAGCTAAATTCACGAAAGGCGAATCATGTGTTGATCAGACTGAAGCTCCACTCATCTTCAACGACCAGAGCATAGAATGACAGTCAAATCTTACTCTACCTCAATTTCATAGACCTCTAAAAAGCATTCAACAGACAGCGTTGACCGCGGAGTAATTTTGGAACTGTTTCAACACTGCGGCGTGAAGTACCTCAAATCTTTATGAATCTCACTCAACCAGAGCTATGTGACACGTGTCAGATGATGCACAACTGTAAACTCAGTGAGGCGTTTGAAGTTAATACAGGTGAAAGATAGACTGTCTGTCAATCACCGAAGATGATATTCCTGATTGTGGTGAACTGGACTTCCTGTGAGGAGCGAGAAGATAGGAAGCATACGCCGGACCGACAAGAAGGCTTTAAGAATATCTGGACTTCAGGTGGACGATTTATGTTGTTGAATATCACACCAAGTCAAAGACTCACAGGAGAAGACGGAGGTGCACCAATCACCACTTTGAACAGGAGAAATTTGAGAGAGGCACTTTCCTTCACTTGTTGTGGAAGCATTATTTCAACTGCAGAGAGGCGGAAGGAGTGGAAATGTCTAAGCCAGCCAGATAGGATCAGAGAAGCAAGGCAGCACACCTCTATCACTCTGAAATCAGTTCGGAAATCTTCTGAACTCAGCCAGCTTGAACAACAAGAGTCGGATTTCTAACACAAGTGTGCAGCCAGTCATTTCTTCTATATGGGTCAGAATTTTGATGGGCTTACCATGAAAAGCATTTCAAAAAGGCTACTGTGGAATCGTATCAACTTCTGCATTCTCTGGCCGTCTCAATATTGAAGGTCGAGTTGCCGGTCAACAAGAAGTAGCAAGTAAAAACTGTGGGAAAAATGAACTAAAAGCCTATTGGTCAACAAATACATGAGCGAAAATGGAAGTGGGTTGGGCCTACTCTGAGCAGATCTTCGAAGGACATCGTGTTCAATGCAGGCTATCGCTTGAGTGTAAGTCGAATGGGAAACGACGACGAGTGGGGCGTCACCTCGACGGTGTCTTCGTGTGATGAAAGAGTAGAGCGAAATGGAGACATACTCTATATTCCATTCAGGAACCAAGGAAACAATAATAATTGTAGTGGAGGTAAATTTCGTGTTTCTATGACGTGCTTCGCTATATATAGATGTTGTTGGGCATCTATTTCCGAGATTAATGGTATTCATTGTTGTCGAAGCCACTTTAAAATGTGTGTCCTGCAGTCGTAACCTACAGTGACTGATGGGTCCTCCCTATAAACGTGTGTATGTGTCCACATATACACATGTAAATTGGGACGTGATACTATTGTTCACATGTTGTAATAGTTTAGAGGACAGAATTGATCTCGTTTTCTGTGTGGCTGCCTTGTAAGTTATACTAATTGTGGCGTTGAGTGTTTTTCTAGTGATGAGACTTTGTTGACCACTCTTGAACAACAGGGGCACAAAATCTGTTTTACTGGTGGGGGTAGGGTGGCGGGGTGACTGACTGGAAACTTGTGTAACGCTTAGTGAATTTGAGTGGTTAGTTGTCATCTAAGAATATTTCAGTGAGGTGTTGTGTGTCTTCTTCTGCATCAATGGTGTCGTCTGTAAAAACTATATGTTGAGTGCTGCGTGAGAAGAGCACTTAACCGGCGCGATTTTATACTGTGTATTGGACAGAAACTGTAATAGTTTTGTTACTGTCTTGTGCATTTGGACTTTGTGTATACAGATGATTTTATTGACCCATGTTTTCGGTGGTGGTTAATGAGTACACATGTAGAAATGGCAAGTTATGATTATTTTATTTCACGTGATATTCTGTGACCTTGCCCTGTACTCAGTTGTATTGATCTGTGTTGCAGTAATGGATGTCGATTCTTGTCTTCTCTATAAATGTGCTTGACAACTACTGGTGTGTGTGTGTGGTCAGAATGTGCAAAATGTGTTGCTCAAATACACACTACATGTTTCAGATCAACTTTCTACGCCATCTAATACATTTTTCAAAATTCATTATATGGAGCTTATTTCGGTAAAAATGTATACATTAATTGTATTTAGAGTATTATTGAAATCCGTGAAAGACCCATCGGAACTTTGGATTTTGGTTTTTCTGTGTTTTCAGAGTTGGGTTTTTAACATGGTCCCGTGGTTTATTATCTTCCCGTCCACCTTGGCTGCTGGTGCATTAGCGGATCATTGGATAAAGGCTGGTAATTACTAATGATGAAGTTTTATGTGTTAATGTTTATTTTCTGCATACATTAATTCCCCTCTATGATTTTAAACAAAACAAACACAAATGTTTTTGCAGAATTGAAAAATGAGGCTATCGTTTGTTCAAATGCTCTTCCCATGCTAAATTTAATTGTGTATACAAATTTACGTGTATCTGCAGAAGCGGTTTTTATTGGCAGAACACAAAGAGGGGAATATCGTAGATTTTCTGAACATATAGCAAAACGTTTACGTCTCAAGGGAACAAATGCTTTGAACAGTGCCACTGACAAACATTTTGTTGATACGGGCCATGAGGTGGATAGCGTTAAATCCTTCAAGATTATTGGTAAACAGTATGTTTCAACTCTCCTCAAATTTACCGAAACAATCACTGTTAAATGTTTGAAACCTGACTTATCTGTTCAGAAAGATCCACTTATAAGCTTTTCTTTGCCTTGGTGACTCAATGTCTCGCCTCTTCATCTCAACTGATGATATAGTCTGGTGAAGTTAAACTTTAAGCACCAGTAACTACCAATCAGCGAGGGACCTTGAACGCACCAATCACATGAGGGCGTCATTTTTGTGTAGGGAATACATATTTATTTTGAAAAATGCATGAAAATTGTATAAAAGTATTATATAGGCTACCTTTCTCCCACATGTGAAAAAACACTTCCCGGTTTAGCGTAGGAGCATCAATGGAAAAAGTGCACCATATCTTATACATATATTCATTGAAATCACTATAAATGACGTCGCTTGGCAATCCATTAATGACTCTGATCCTGTTTTTAATCTTCCCCAAAAGCCTTCGATACAATTGGTGTGTGTCCGTGTAATGGTATTCACAAAATCATTAGAATGGTTGACTCTATGGTGAGTATGTTCGAGGGATGACAAGGAGTTATTACCCTTCCACTCATCTCTGTGTATTCTAAGCCCTTGTTTCACCAGTCGAGTAATAATAGGCACTGAGGTACTTGACTTCCTATCTACTATCCTCTCGACAAATCCTTTCTGTAGAGAGGTATCTTATAAACCAGTCATCCAACCATTATCTGCTCAGTGTCAACCACAGTTGTATTTTTTTTATTTAGTAAGGTAGTTTCATGTACATGTACGAAAACACCTCCCAGTGAGGAAGTAAGCCTCTCCATTTTGCAGGATGCGTTATCCCTTCAGTGCTGGTATCACTGAACTGTTGATACGAGACTATTTTCAGTTTCAGCAGCTACACCTCTCAAAGGTTATTTTAAAACGCAGTAATTACAAATTTGCAAAATGTGGGTTGGGGACAGATGGGATCCGGCAAAAAAATGTTCCTACGAAATCTTGGAATCATCAGCTCACTTCCCCTGGCAGTAACTTGCCTCAGACTAATTGCTCAAGGATGCATATGTGTCCATCAACAGACCTGTTAAAGGTTTTGATGGTCATCACACCTCCACATGAAAATATCATTTCTTTCCTAATCAACCCTCATCAAATTGCAAACGCAACTGAGTCGCTCTGACTCTTCAGATGCTTGCTCTAGGAATCTGACTCGAATCAAACGGAATAAAAGCTTCAACTCACGTGGATAAAACTCATTGGACCATTCTAGGTTAGTGACGTGGTCACACTGCATTGGTAGTTAGTGGTGCTTAAAGTTTAACTTATCCCTTCCCGCATACCTTGTTTTGCATTAGAGGGTCATTCAGTACTTTTGGTTCCATGACTTGGGTTTTACTTACCATATTGTTACTCATCGTCAACTTCCCTACCCCTCTCTTGATTATGCAACTCAATTTCACAAATATCCGACCTTTAATTTTTTTGTTGTTCGTATATTGTTTGAACCTTGACCTCCTCCTTTTATAAGTTATAAAACAAAAATCATGTTTATCCTTGCAAGATTGACGAAATCCTGCGTACCCTCACACGATCAACTTTTAGTTTGTAAGCAGCTGAAGAGGATCCGACGACCAAATAAATGATGGTCTTATACTATTCTGCACAAATATTTGTTTTTGATTTGTTTAAAATGTTTACTTTTATTGATATTGTTTCTGTTTGCGCCTTTACCTGTGCTGTTTTCGCTTTATTTCACTCACTTTGGCGTCAAACGCAGGGGAACGCGGTTCTGTTTCCTGAACACTAATGGTGTAACCGCTACCATATGTTTAGTCCGTAGTGGCCTTGTAACGACCAAATTTATTCGATTATATGGTCTGAACGCAAGAAACTGATCCCAGTCTCTCTCTGTAGGTTCTACTATATAGCTGACAAAGCTTCGCTGTGACACACACTATCACAACACCTTCCAAAGTCGAGGAAAAGACGATTATTCTACAATATTTTGGCTCTTCTATTCCACAACGATAATAATAATAATAGCACCAAAACTTAAATTTACCTCAACAATGCCGTGAGTCAGCTAGTTATACAGGCAGGCAGGCAATGTAGGTTAACAAAAGTTCAACTGTAGAAGCTACCTACTTTATAATAGGGGAGAATATTCCCAACCAGGTGGGGTTAAAAGCTCTGTCCTCAAGAATCATACACACACACGCACACAGCCTCAGGCCAGAATGACCTACGTTCACCCAAACAAACTCATATCTGTGAACAATACATTGTCAGTGTACATACAAACACAACGAGAAGTGTTATAATTATAGATTAAACTAGGGTGAAGGCAATAATAAAGGTCAAAAAGCAACATGTGGTATGCAAATGTCAAATGAATGATAAACAGTCTAGAGGAAATACATCGAATAATTACGAAATTAGTTGAAATATCTGAATACGTATAAACATTATATAAATAAATCGTCCAGGAGGGATATTCCAATCAATTTGTCCATCACAGGCCTTTTTTATCCTTTTGCTCTCTGAGTAGAAGATAGCACTTCAAGTGCGAATCGTTGAAGTTCCATTAGTAGTGGTAACTGTTGGTTTATCCCAACAGAAGGAGGTTTAAGACTGCGTCTGCACGGGACACAGTCCTGGACCACCTGTATATTTTTGGAGTAGTCTACCAGTACCCTAACCATCGGTGCTGACTGGATTCTGTCAGTTAATTTTGTAATGTGGCCACGATGCTAGTTAGCCCGACATCAGGTGTGCTTTGGATTGTGGGTATTAGATGATTAAGGACAGTCGGTAGGAAGCCCTTGCAGCATTAAGGACACAATACTGAGCAAAGAGAGTCTTTTCAACGAATTTATTATCACGCTGTACAATCGTATATATATGGTTTTCAAAGAAATTATATCCGGTGAGGGAGTTGGATCAAAGGTGTGAATACATGGAATAATAATAATATGAAATGTAATTAAAATTTTTATCCTTATAACCACAGTTAAATGTCAAGTGGCATAACAATTAGTGTCATATACATCTTAGGAATTATTCTACACATGACACTAATTGTTTTGCTACTTGACATTTAACTGTGGTTATAAGGACAAATATTTTAATTACATTTCATATTATTATTATTTCATGTATCCACACCTTTGATCCAACTCCCTCACCGGATATGATTTCTTGAAAACCACACATATACGATTGTACAGCCTGATAGTAAATTCGTTGAAAAGAGTCTCTTCTTAACACATAATAATAAGTTACAGAACCATCGGAAAACCACTTGGGAGTACTGCCAGATGGCTATTTCTGTCATCCTGTTGCTTGGGTTCGAACTCATGACCTTCCAGTTACAAGGCGAGTTATCTCATAGACCATTTGTCACCTGCTTGGACCTCACCCGGCCCAATGGCCAACCCTATGAATTTCAACTTCCGAGCTCGCCCTGTAACCGGAGGGTCCTGGTTTCGAACTGTGGCAGTGGCTGCGTACTACTGAAGAGTCTCAATCACTAGGATATCGGAGGTAGCTGTTTTGCAGTACCCCAGTTGGTTTGTCAATGGAGTTCTTTAACCGATGAAATCACGTAGCCAATCATAGTCTTGGTGCAAACACCTTTGTAGTAATAACTGCTTGATGTGATAGAAATTATATTTTTTAGCGTTTCTTTTCTTTTCTATTTACAGGTGTATCTGTGACTTTAGTGAGAAAGATAATCACCGTACGTTTCTAAATTTTACTTTTGAGTTTATAATAATCGTGTTTTTTATGAATTTCACAATTTACGATCACAGTAATTAAGAAATCACAGTAGAACTGCGTGCTAGTTGGTTGGCGAATGACTATATTCTGCCTAGTCAAATAGTAGAAAGCTTTTCTCTATGAAGGTCAAAGCCAGAATCAGAAAATCTAGCAATACCTTCAACAATCTGGAGGTATTTTGGAAGTCTTCTGCCACTCACTCAGCTATAAGCATGAAGGACAAGATTCGGATTTTCTGCACAAATGTTTAGTCAGTTCTTCTATGTGCATCATAAACTTGGTGGGTGCGTCACAAAAAGAATTTCTAATAGACTACTACAGACTTTGATCAAAGACTGACGCCTTTTCTGGCTTCATAGTGAAAGTACAAAGTAATCAAGTACATATTGTGATTCTGAACAATAATTTGTGTTCGAAACGTTATCAGTGAATATCGCTGTTGTAACACTGTGTGATTTTATCGAAATAAAATTCTATCCATAATGGAGTTAACCAAGAACCTGTTGATCAACAAATATATGGGTGAAAATGAAGATGGATTGGGCCTACGCTGAGAAGACTGTCGAATGTCATCGCGCCCAATGCAAGACACTGCTTAATCTGAATGATAAAAAGACGACGAGTGAGGCGTCTCTTCGAGTGTGACTTGAAGGAGATGGTGTGATGAGGGGTGGCGATGAGATGAACTACGGGTAGTTGTGGAGCCAAGCAGCTAAAGAGGACAACAGAGAATAGGAAAAAAATGGAGATGTGGGGCTGAAGTCGTATGTTCCACTTGGGACCCGAGGGAATAACAACAAGAAGTGTTTAACTATTAGATGAAAATATTTGCTTTATCAGCAAAATTGTCTTCGTGTATTCGAAACCAAAACTAATTACAACAAAAAGAGCAATGATAATAGCTTTATTCTAGAAAGTACATTTATGAGACACACAGGCACACTTCAGAATTGTCATCGAATTTGATAGCGAGATAAATACTCACTGTGCACTCATTGGCACAGTGGTTAGGACTCTCGCCGACCATGCACATGGTCCGAGGTTCGATCCCCTGGCGACGCACATCTGATATCTATGGTCGGCCTGCAAAATTCTGGCTACTGATATCACATGCTGAAAATTCCATACTTTTACCAAAAATACGGTGTGGAATCAAGGTGAAATAAAATAATAATAATAATTGGCTGGGGACAATCTCAGTCTATTTGTAGCCATATTTCAAAACATCCTGTCGACTCTGGTTAAATAAAATTAGTTTTTCAGCAAGGTGCCCGAAGCCATTTTTATTTCATAGGCGACCTTTCAACGTGTTGATATATTGTCGAATGATTGTTAACATTTCGATATGATAGAGAAGATCTGTAGCTCAGGTGGATGATTTTAAGGTGGTTGTGTTCTCTGAGCTGGATAGTTAATTTGAGAAGCTTTCATCGCCCTACTAGGCAACATCTTCAGCGCATACTTCGATTTGGAAGTGAGTTTTTAGATTTCTTACTTGTATTGTTCCAATACAATACCTAGAAGGTGTGAAAACACACATAAAAACAACCAAACACGTCCAAGGTCACCAGCAGAGATAATTAATAAACTTGTGGAGAAATCTAAAAGCTCACTTCGAACTGAAGTATGCGCTTTAGATGTCATCCAGTAGGGTGATGAAAGCTTTGCAAATCAACCATCCAGCTCAGACAACACAACCGCATCAAAAAGACTGTTAACATGCTTTATTACCACAAGAATAGTTAAGTACGTATACAGTCAGTCACTGACAAGAATCTAAGCGAAAATTTAAAGCTCGTAGGAGTTCGTTTGTAGAGTCTTGATTTGTTTCTCAGGTTTGATCACGGATTGCAGTCATTTTGAGAACCAACTATTAAAAACTGTCAGGGAGTACTGGCTAATAACATCATCATCGTTTTTACCTTTTCTGACTTAGCTGTCACTGTATATACGAAAAATAGTAAACACTACTCATAATAACCATCGACAGTCAGCTTAACACTTGAGCTATGCAAACAAACCTCCATCAGTGTATCGCATTATGACCTCTAACAGTATTGTGTCTACTCGACTGGCGAATATCCAAAATATTTACTACCTACTCATTCCCATCTCTCTACTAAACATGAGAAATAGTATTATCCAGCTCGATGGATGGCAAATTATGCCCATACATGAGATAACCGTTCCTCAATAGTGTTGTCGTCGGTTCATCAAAATGTACTTGGAAACTTTTTATATGATTGACATTTCGCCCCTTGGGTCCATTGTTAGTTAATATATATGTCGTATACTGAGAACTTATTGGGAGCATAATTGGAAAGATTCATTTTTACAGGAGATATAGTAGTCACTTGTAATAAACTGACAGACGCCATAAGAATCCTAAACCAGATCAACAAAGCACGAAACAGTATATCGTTAACATATGTTAAAGAGAATAATGATTGCCTGCCATTTTTAGATGTGCTCATAACCCACCGAGAAGATGAGTCAATAATACGATCTGTCTATAAAAAGTCCACATGCACGGGACAGTATCTAAATTATCATAGTTTCTGTTCACTGCAGTGTAAAAAGGCGTTGGTTAAGTGTTTGTTCAAACGCACTCACCGTATGTGTACTGGCGGTACAATTGAAGAAGAAAGACAACACCTCACTGAAATATTGCTAGATAGTAATTACTCGCTGAGATTTATTAGGCGTCACGGAAGTGTCAACCATGAAGCTTTACCAATCGAATCAGTTCCCAGAAAGGAGTTTTACATATCCTTCGCATTCAGCGGTGATCAGCAAAGTTTGGTCACTTAACCAACACTCAAAATGGCAATTAATGGAACTTATTATGCAGCTGAACTTGTCTCCATAGAGAAAACGAGAACTATACTGTCCTGTGAACCCCAACAGTATCCGAACGACAGTGTCACATCCCATTGTATATATCAGTTTACATGTATGTGTGGACACACGTACATAGGGAGGATCCACCAGTCTCTGCAGGTTAGGACTACAGAGCATATTCCAAAGTGGCTACAACAACAAATAAAATCGTCAGATACAATTGATCCCGAAAATTAATGTCCAGTGTCATCAATGGCGGACCACATTATAGAGACGGATCATGAGGTTCATTCCACCAATGCCTTTAAGCCCATATATAAAACAAGGTTGGGTCACATACTTAAATTCGTTTAAGCCTTGACCATAAAGATACTTTAACATGTCTTATGTGTTCAACAGTTATTTGTTCTTACTCTAAACTTGCGTTGGTTATCCAATTCATAACCAAGGATCATTGATATAAGAGTAAAACTTGTGCACTTCGATAGGGTGTAATTCAAAACGTCATCAGTGTAACACTGTGAGACTTTATCAAAACAGATTTTACCCATGGTGGAATAAGAACCAAGGATCAATTTACTTCCTTTTTTTCAACCCCTTCTTCGCTTTGTTTTTTCTTCCCTACCCACACCTTTGCGTCGTCTTCCTACCCATAATCTGTGACCTTCACCTGAATTGTAATGATTCTTTTCTTCTATAAAACTGTGTATGACAAATGCATGTGTGATCAGAATGTCCGAAACGTGTTGCTTAAATACATTACACGTTTCTGATAAACTACCTCTTCTTGCCTAAATTTTCATAGTTTCTGTCCACTACAGGATGCGAGAGGCTTGACGAAGCGCTTATTCAAGGGAACATTTGTGCAGCTGATGTAATAGAGGATGAAAATAAAATATTGATGGATACTTTTGTTGAAAACGAGTGTCCTTTAAAATTATTAAACCGGTGTTATTCTGCCCCTAAGAAAGATGGTTTCATTAAATTTGCCACACAGTAGGAACAGTGGGTCTTTAAGACAGAGACTAAACTCAGTCATTTGTAGGTCATATTAAGCAGAGCGGTTTAATAATTATTGAAAAAGCCAAATATATGCTTCACTGCAAACCTCAAAAGTGCACAAGCGATTGTCACATCCGACACTGTAGATCAATTTACATGTTTATATGTAGACACATATACATAGGAAGGAGTAATCACACTTTGCATATGAAGGTGGCAGAGCATATTCCAAGGTGGTTGGATAAACACTTGAAAATCTATAGACACAGGTGGTAGACTATTAACTTCGTTTATGGGTAAACATCTAATCGATATAAACCACAAGATTGATGTCAAAACAACTTTTAAGTTTATTTATAAGAACAGTCAAGGGTGTTTAGTGAATTACTCCGAGGCGATTGCTATTCGTACACTTAATCCTCTCCCAAACCGGTGTGTACAAAAGCAATTTGTTATTGCTCTTAATCTACCTTGGTAATCCTTATCTGATTGGGTAACCAAATCTGGTGTTGTTAAGTATTCTTATAATACTTAAATCCTTTTTGTCACTTTGTGTTTTAATTGGCCTTTTATTTTTCCCATAAATTGACTCGACAATTAAATGTATGAGGGATCAGATTGTTGTTCGAAATGTATATATTCCTCAAGTACATCACACTTTCGTAGATAATCTCTTTCCTCTAATAACACTATTCAAATTTATGAAGGGGACTTACTGTTTTAAATTAGTGACCAGTATAAAGATGATTCAGAGCGAAACCACAATGTACATACATTGTGTTGTAATGCACTCACTTTATTTCTTTAAAACCATTTTAGTTCCCTTCATCGATTTCGACCAATTAATGAGGAAATGTAGTTAGTTTATCTGTGTATTTGAGTAATACATTTCCCACATTCTGATCACACACACGAGTACTTGTCTCATACACATTTATGTAAAACGCAAGAGTTGGCATGACATTTTACTATATAGGTCAAGGTCACAAATGAGGTGTAGGAAGATGACGCAAGCGTGTAGGATAAGAAATGGAACGTCGCTTCTAAATTGGACTACCCAAGCGCAGGTACAAAATAATAAAAAAAATTTTTTTTTTCAATACATAATACTGGTCTACGCCTTTTCATAGGCGAGGAAGGCTTAAAAGAATTTAAGTATATGTGAGCCAACCTTGTTTTTAAATATATGGGTTTAAAGGGTCATTGGAATTAACACTTTGCGATCAAATCACTCACACTCACTCAATAGCAATTTTACCGTATTCAAATTTCTAACTTTGTGCCGTTGAGTACAACAACTTTTATTTTATACTTCTAAAGCCACTTCTCAGTGTTTATAACACCCCCCTATTACTCAATAATAGACTACTATAAATTTTTGGTAAATATAAATACCACTGTACAGCCGCCCCTGAAGATGATTTCGTCGATGAAGAAAATTTTCTTCGTTCAATATATGTCTTATATTACCTTGTGATCAATCTGTATGATGTGCCTCACTACATATTGATGATGTTAGGCATCTGCTTCCGAGATTAATTGTATCCGGTGGTCATTTTGTTCGTTGTTGTCGCAGCCACTTTGAAATGTGTGTCCTGCAGCTGTAACCTACAGAGACTGATGGGTCCTCCCTATAAACGTGTGTATGTGTCCACATATACATATGTAAATTGGTAAACACGCAGTGGGAGGTGACACTATTGTTCAGATGTTGTGATAGTTTTCTGTATGACTGAATTGTGAGTTGTATTAATTGCGGCACTGAGTGTTTTTCTAGTGATGAGACTTTGTTCACTACCCTTGAACAATAGGGACACATAAACATTATTTTATTGGGAGGGGGGCAGAGTGACTGACTGGATCGGTCGAACTGTTTGTTTGATACTTGTGTGTAACGGTTACTGAGTTTGAATGGTTGGTTGTTATCTAAGAATATTTCAGTGAAATGTTGTGTTTCTTCTTCTGCGTCAACGGTGTCGTCTGTGAAAATTGTATGTTGAGTGCTGCGTGAGATGAAGCACTTAACCGGCCCGTTTTTATACTATGTATTGGATAGAAACTGTAATAGTTTAGATACTGGTTGGCTGGCTGGCTTGCACTAACTGTTGGCACAGATTTCATTGACTGATGAAGCCAGATATGTTTTCGTCTTAACATCACCACGTTCAGGCTACCTAGCTAGCTAGCTCTTTTCCAACCTCATCCTTCTATCCATCCTATGTCGGTTGAGACAGGCGATCAATGACGATGGCTAGTTATGCATGTGTAACACATATCTTAACTATCTCACTCAACCGATGTAACTGCTTCACAACCTCGTGAATACATTGAATTTTCTTCTTCCTTACCTAGCACATCACTCGACCGATGCCTCACCAACTCAATAGTATTCGGTATGTGATACCTACCAACTAACCTAACACAAGAGGTAGACAGAACACAGACACCATTTATGATCGAAGATAGCTAGCTTTTTTATCACGTCTTCCACTTTCACCAATGTCTGTCATGGATGACTCACAGCCAGCTATTTAAGAAAAACGGAGCGAAATGCTGCTGTGTAGCTCACACACGTCGTTTGGTCTACTTCAAACTGAATATCACATCTTGTAAGCCACCTAAGGTGGCGTAAGTTTTTGGCAAATGCCGAACTAGTCTTCTCTGTTCATTTGCTGAGATTTTGTCAGCGACTAACTCCCTGAGATGCAACTTCCCAAATAAGTGTGAAGTGGTTGTCAACACTCAGCCACCACTTCACTCCCTACCTATATCAGGGCAACTCCTGGGTGGCTCGAATCAGTTAGGGTAAGGTCGATTAGTGGATCTATGGTGAAATGAAACAGATATAAGGGTTGTGACCATCCCTGATGGACACTACTGATTATCATCACTTCAGTTGATGTACTGTTGAAAAGTGTTATCAAGTGAATAGGGAAAAAAGTACACTAGTATCCCGACGTTCATGTAATAAGACTGAGTTTATTTTTATGAACAGCTAGCAGGCAATATATATATAACGATATGTTAGAATTTTACGGACATTAAGGCCTCATATTATAACTGGTGTCTGGTAGTACTCTTTACTGGGTTTTCGATGGTTCATTATTCTCTAACCTCTGTTAGTGAGCTCATCATGTCACCAATCAAACAAATCCCTGCTATAATGATCAACAGCTGCACAAAAGCTCTGCGTTGAAACTCAGTTGTTTGTTTAAGCGAGAATGCTTTTTAATATATATTTTTTTCTCAGTTTCTTTCCTTAACATATAAATAAGAATACAAGTAACAAGAGTAGTTGATACTATACCTCTTTTTGTGTGTATTTCAATATATCTTTTACAGACAGTTGTACTATTGGGATCATCGTTATTCCTTTTTATTCTCGCATCATTGGATAATTATTATGGATCACTGATGTGTATGGCATTTGCATTAGCTTGCTTAGGTTTTCACTGTAGTGGTGTACTTTTAAATCCTCAGGATATGGCGCCAAATCATGGTGGTCAGCTATACGGTAAGTTTTTTTTTGCTTTTCGTAATCAATTTTTGCAGTATGCTGCAGAATATTTGTTGACCAATCGGCTCGTGGTTATTTTTTTCTCTCATAGTTTCTTGTTACTAATTCCCCCTGGCCGGCCTTTGGTCTTCACTGTGGAGTCAGCGAAGACAGCTGTTGATAAAGGTAAAGGTCTGCACTGGTCTGTTGGAGATGCTTTTCGTGACGCGAACGCCAAGTTTCATACCCCTTCAGTACAGAAGGAACTTGGTTGAGTGTCTCAGGTGGAGAATGAAACGCATATTTTCAGAGGAATGCATTGAGGGAGTAATGTGTCAACTGAAACCTACACTACAAGAAAATGGATATCCAGAGAACTTCAAGAAGTATATGTCAATACCTGGACATAGAGGAATGCTGGATGCTTTTGATAAGGCACCTTTCTATCCTAAGTTCAGTTACAAAGGGGGAGATTGCAGCTGACCCAATACGAAGGGCAGTAGTAGCTTGCAACATGAATTATCTTTGCAAATGACGATTTTCACATCGAAACGTGTACATAATTTGCCTATATAACAGGTATATCAAATAGCAAATGAACATCCCTTTACAAAGTCTCTTGCGTGGTCACCTCACGAATGTCCAAGGGTTGTGCATCGTAAACCATTTGTATCTGCTGAGAAATGTAGCCTCGAACGCTCAGTGAATTGGGAAATGAATAACTGCAACTTCGACTCTTCTACTATTCAGTGGAGGAAGTGCGCGGTGACGTAGTACATTTTTCAACTTCACTGCCAACATTAACGGGTCTCCGTTGGGTTCCAGCTCTGTGGCACGGAACTTCTGCATTACCGGCAGGCCGTCGAACTCCCCCACCAATCATTCAACCAATACCTTCCAGGTCTTTTTGTCACCTGACTGCTCCACACTGTCATACACCGACCTTTCTCGACCCTGCATCACAACCTCCTTCGCCGTCGTATGTGTTATATCTGTGGGGGATTGAATGAAGACGTTTTCACCTTATTCTGTCTGCGCCTGAACTAATCTGTCTATCTCCTCGTCGGACCTTCCGGCTTAGTAAGGCACGCAAATATCAAAAGACAAAGGCTGGACTGTGACTGTGTATTGAAGTGCAACAACGATAAAGAAAGCCATGGTATTTATACATTTTACAACAATATGGACAGCTAACAGCATTTGAAATAATTGACCTTAATAGCCAATAACAAAGTGTGTGAGAAATGCTAATATGCCATATGTGCGACATTGACAGTCAGTAACAAAATGTGTGGGAATGATATACCATATATACAAAATTAGCAGTCACTACCAAAATGCGTGAGAATGGAATGATAATATACAAAATTAGCAGTCAATACCAAAATGTGTGAGAATGATAACATACCATTTATGCAAGTTTAAACAGTCAATACCAAAATATGTGGGATCCTATCACCTCCCCCCGTAAAGAGTGTAGGACTTGCTTTTTGGATCTATTTGCAAAGGTTTCGGAGCTCTTCTTTGTCGAGTTGACCTTTGCGTGGTACTGGATAGAGCGTGATCTGTGTGTCTGCCACATAACTGTCCTTTTTCATTCGTACGATAATGCAGCAAGAATTTATCCAAAAATTTTTCTGTTGTTCCCTCCCCCTTCGCTTTTGCATAAGCACGCTTAAAGGTGTCGACGAAACGTTCAGTAATAGTTGACGTAGGAGGGACACTGTTGCAATTGATGTGGCAGAATGCATAGGAAATATCTCTGGCCATTTGGAAAACGCGTCGACACATATTAAGAAATGCATACTATTGAACGGTCCAGCGAAGTCAACATGAACACGGGACCATGGTTTGTCCGGTCGTGGCCAGGAACATAGTTCTGTCTTGCGTGGACACTTTGATGCTTGAGCACATTTACTACACTTGCGAACGAGGTCTTCGATATGGTCATCGATGTTGGGCCAGTAAACATAACTGCGAGCGATCGCCTTCATTCTCCCAACACCAGGATGTGATATATGAAGCTGCCGAAGCACATGGTCACGAAGATTAGCTGGAACGACAACACGATCAGCAAACATTATGCATCCATTAACGATGGATAGGGATTTGCGTCGCTGGTAAAACTGTTTTAAAACATTTGAATGAACATGTGGAGGCCAGCCAAATCGGATGAACTTTGATACTTGCTGTAAAACTGGATCACGCAGTGTGTGTCTGGCAACCTCAACTGCAGTCACCGGAAGATCGTCCAGAGAGATAGACATTATAATTGGGTTGTAATTTACACAGTCAAAAATGTTATATAGTTGCGCTGAACAGAATAAAAACTGTCGTCGTTGCGTGCTATAACTGCGATGAATTAAAGTAAATCCCCGGTCGCCAATTTGTTATATCTTGCTCTGTCTGCGCCTGAACTTATATGTTATATAGTTGCGCTGAACAGAATAAAAACTGTCGTCGTTTGCTTGTTATAACTGCAATGAATTAAGGTAAAACCCCGTCGCCAATTGTTATAACTGCACTGAATTAAGGTAAACCCCGTCGCCAATTTATTATATCTTGCTCTGTCTGCGCCTGAACTTATCTGTCTATCTGCTTGTCGTACCTTCCGACTTAGCAAAGCACGCAAATATCAAAAGACAAAGGCTGGACTGTGACTGTGTATTGAAGTGCAACAACGATAAAGAAAGCCATGGTATTTATACATTTTACAACAATATGGACAGCTAACAGCATTTGAAATAATTGACCTTAATAGCCAATAACAAAGTGTGTGAGAAATGCTAATATGCCATATGTGCGACATTGACAGTCAGTAACAAAATGTGTGGGAATGATATACCATATATACAAAATTAGCAGTCACTACCAAAATGCGTGAGAATGACAATATACAAAATTAACAGTCACTACCAAAATGCGTGTGAATGATAATATACAAAATTAGCAGTCAATACCAAAATGTGTGAGAATGATAACATACCATTTATGCAAGTTTAAACAGTCAATACCAAAATATGTGGGATCCTATCAGTATGCTTGACGCCCAGCAGCATCAAAGTCTCGCAAGTAGCACCTAATGTCTCTTTCTTCAAAAGCAACCGGCCATGGAATTTCCATTGTCTGGAGGCGGCGACACAAAATGTAACGCGAGAAGACTAGAGACTTGGTAACAGAATGTTTGGAAGCAGTTGGTAGGTAGCCTTGTATGTAGGTTTCGTGCTTGTTGGTACTCATTAGTCAGTATGGTACGTAGCTGCAGTCTTCAAATGACTCATGTCCCCGTTCTTGAAATCGGAACCCATGTCACCCAGTGAGCACTTCAGTTAGCAATGCTACCACCACTGAGCTTTCGAAGTCCTGTTGATAGGACTGTAATGGATACTTTCATAAAATTCAGTCTGCACTGAACAAACGACTAGATGCATGATAGTCGTTGTGTCATTTGTGAGATTATCTCAGTACATTGGTTGAATATGAAGATTTTTGAGCAATTTCGGTATTATACCACCTAGCACTGGATTCTATTTGGAAACAAAATAGTATGCTGTGGTGGATATTGTGACGGAGTGTTTAGTGTTTTTGTTGTTGGGTATGCTGACTCTAGAATGAATCTCCAATTACGCTACTGTAGCCAATTTATCGCTTGGAAATAATCCCTCACACTGAGTAGACATACAGAAGTCAGATTTAACTGAGACAACTGCCACAAGAACATCTTTATTATTCCACAATGCAGAGTATATATCCTCTACACATAAACGGAAATTTAAACCAGAAATAGATCATCAATATCTGATTGATTGCATCAGTTAATCCGTCCTACCACCTTCCCGCTCCCCATTTTATTAGATTTTCAGTTGGGAGACCACTGGAAGATATTTTTCAGTCAAATACATAGGTCAAAGTAGTAGGACAGGGGCAGTCAGACTAGCCGAACATAAAAACCTAGCAAAATCTAGATTAATTAACCCCAATGAGATAAGAAGTCTGGAGAATAGTTCAGCTATAGCACTACATGCAATTACGCAAAACCATACAATAGGATGGATGGAATAAGATGACAGTTTTAAAATCTAATACAACTAACAGGGTGGAGGGAGAGATTGGTAACGGAAGCTTTGTTTGTCTTATTAACTGCAAATCTGTGTAATAGGAATGATTCAACACCTGTCCAGCCGGATATCTGGAAAATTCTACTACCCCGACGACGACAAATAGGGGAGAACAAAGAAAACTATAAAACTCAAGTTTCAAAGTCGTGTGACTATAATTGATAATATGATTATGAACAATACATTTTGTCCGAAACGTCATCCAGTACACAGTAATACTGTTTCACTGTGTGATACATCTAATAAACAAACTAATGTGGCATGGCTAGTTGGTGTTCTACTGTGGAATCACTGACGCACAACCGCTACCCCTGGAGACGAACTAACTGTCGATATTGGCGTTGTTGGCAATGGCTGAATGGTCTACTAGCTCGCTTTCCTTATGACAGGAAGGTCTTGGATTCAAACCCCGGTCTGCGTGTATATATATATATATATATATATATATATATAGATATATATATATATATATATATATAACGGCTCCTTTCTTTATCTTCCCTAAACAGGAATAATGGCTACTGTGGGTACTTTTCCAGGATTCGCTGGCGTCTATATGGTCGGCTATCTACTGGAGACTACAAATCAATGGTCTGTGATATTTATCCTTACTGGCATGATCAGTATAGGCGGCTGGATCGGATATATTTTGTACGGATCATCGGAGGTGATCTTATAAGAATTATTATTATTATTATTGTCAGTCACTGACCTTCTTTCTTCCTTTGCTTGCTATGCACTACTCATGTACACACTACCACTGAAACTGTATTTTCTTTTTCACTTATATATATATATATATATATATATATATTCAAATGTTATTTTGTTATATGCATAGAAGTTATAGCAACAAATGAACTGCAGCATTGCATTGTGTGATAACAGATTTCATAACGTTCTAAGTCAAATTTTGTTCTCTTTCCTTTTTTGCTCATGATGCGTTTGCCTTCCGCACAGTCCTTACAAACCCTAAATACACTACTTCATGTTTGAAGATTGCTTTTCTAATTTAGGGTTGTACATTGTTTGTTCATTCTTATGAGTTGTTACTATTATTATTAAATTTTTGGTTCTCGTTTCTACTAGATGCCTTTTGTTTGATTAACTAGTCTAGTTATTGTTTATTTTATTTTCTTATTTGTAAATGTTTATTGACTATTTTTTTCTGTTCGTTTCTTTGTTTATTTGAATACAGCCTTTTCTGTTTCTTCTTTTCTATTCATTTGTAAATATAGAGTATTCGTGAAGTGAATACTCACACGATAGATTCAGTTAAGAAAAATCATATATAAATTACCCAATAAGCCATGTAATGATTCTCTTAGTGAGTGAGGTCAATTACATGGGTGAGTCGAACTAGTAGATTGAGGTCACGGAGATTATTGGAACATAGAAATTCAGCTAGACCTAGAATGACTAAGCCCTCCCTGTTAAGTAAGTTAAATAACCTAGAAAAGCAAAGCTCACTCAGCCCTCGGGTTGCATTGCATTCTATTGTATTCACCTGAACGTATTCGCAAAATAGGTTGGGAGGGACAGAGTGAGTGTATTAAGAAGTAGTATATCTAGGTGGAGACAGTGAGTGAGCGAGCGAGCGGGAGAGAGAGAGTGAGGTTATTCACTGAATCTTTGATTTGATTTTTGATTTACAGCTTGATTCCAAACTATATTTTTGGTACAAGTATGGAATTTTCCGCATGGATATCGGTAGCCCAAATTTTGCGGGCCGACCATAGATATCAGGTGTGCGCCGGCGTGGGGTCGAACCCCGAACGATGTGCATGGTCGGCGAGACTCCTAACCACTGTGCCACCTTTGTTAATCGACTGGCCGTCGCACACGTACAATGGAATTGACACAACGCCTACCTATCGCATTTATTTAGATTAGTTTACATGGATACAATTCTTATTTGTTTAATTCCACATAGTAACAAAGGTGATAATAACTTTCAACTTGTTATGAAAGTTTGAAGGTAGGAATAGATATTACAAGGGGCTTAGAGACAAGATTTCATAGGATTAGAAAATAGTTACAACGTATGCAAAATTATTACTTGATAACTGGAGAATTAATATTAAAGGCGAATAAAAGGTGATAATTGTTTTCAACTTGATATGAATTATAAGAGGCTTAGAGACGCAGAGATAGAACGAACTACAGGTGTGAACAAAATGAGCATGGAAACAAATCAAAATTTTCAACTTGAAATGTAAGTTAGGAGGTATGAATATAGATTACAAGAGGCACAGAAACAAAAAATATACAGGATTAGAATATAATAGTAAAATGGTTATTCTAAACGGATTACAAGTGTGATCAGGAGGAGCATGGAAACAAACTTAAAATAAATGATTTTATAACTGAAAAATAGGATAAATTGAGTGAAGGCAAAGAGAGAAAATTACACACGCAGATAACAAAACAAAAATAGACTGAAGGATAAGGAAACATACCGAACAAGGTCCATGGTAGTTGTAAAGGCTGGACTAGTTTCTTTTGAACACATAGCTCTGGCTTTCAGATGCATATGGCGAGAGCTTCTGCAGTGCAAAGAAGTCGGAAACACACTGTCATTGGTAGATTTTTGTTTACTTTGTAAATGACTCTAAATGATGAGTCGTTTGAAATTTTGTGACAGGTATTGACGAGATGTTCAGTTATTGCGCTTCTGACTGAACCAGTGCCTCCTCTTTGCAGCCATGCTGGATGATGTTCTCTAACACGTTTAGAACCCGCATAGAACGACCAATGTACCTGGCTCCGCAAGAGCAGGTGAACTGATAAATCCACACTGAAGTGGTCATATGAGGAAGGACAGACTTCAGCATACAACGACCTATGTAATTTTCTCTATTTCCCTTCACTCAATTTATCCTCTTATAATTCATATCAAGTTGAAAACAATTATCACCTTTTCGCCTTTAATATCAATTCTCCAGTTATCAAGTATTAATTTTGCATACGTTGTAACTATTTTCTAATCCTATGAAATCTTGTCTCTAAGCCCCTTGTAATCTCTATTCCTACCTTCAAACTTTCATAACAAGTTGAAAGTTATTATCACCTTTGTTACTATGTGGAATTAAACAAATAAGAATTGTATCCATGTAAACTAATCTAAATAAATGCGATTGTACAGCTTTTGAGAATGAAATCACCGAGAAGATATCTTTGCTGAACTTTTTGTTCTTTTCAATCTAATGTTCCAATGGGTATTTTCCACGATTTGAATCAATCTTTGTTCATATTTTCTCATGACCAATATATGGGACATACACGTTGACGTAAAATACTGTCTACCACTTTTACCTAGCAACCAACTCTCACCACAACCAATATGAAATATTCCAAAGCTTCAAAAACAGAATTAACCTCCTTCACAAAAGTGAAGAACGAAGCAACCACTAACAGAGATTAATCTAATTATAATTTGAGCTAAAGATATGGTAAATAATGAGTTTTGGGCCAACACACTGCAAAGATAAAGGTGGTGCTATCAATAAGCTACACTATATCAGTACTTGCTCAAAGCGATTCACTTATGTACCCAATATTTCAGTTGTCTACCTAACCTGCAAGCACTGACGACAAAATGCAACTTAAGACTTGGATATTGAATAAAAATCTGATCAAGTCTTCCGTATTAATGGGCATAATAAAAGGCAGAGATTATCCAAAGGAAAGGTCTATAACTTACCAAACGCTTAAGGATTTATTACAAACTCAAGGAATGCGAGTATAGACAGCACAAAAGAAAGGTGCAAAATGACGTTGCAACCAGTTCGTAGAATTACAAATTAAAGCAAAAGCTTTAGTCCTGAAATTCGCATTACATATCTCTACATTGAGAAATCATATTTATAAAGTATGAAAATCGTCATTCGTGCTCTACACTTGACCTTCGATTTGTTTTTATTTTTATTTTTTCCGTGCCTCCCATGTTGCTTCATTTCCTCTCTTCGATGTCGAATCAATCTCTGCGTTAATTTCGTGAAATTATTGTGTGCCGGTGCAAATCTCTTTCGTTATACTGCAGACAAATCATGTCAGTAACACAAGCTACAATATGAGAAAGAATTATAATTCGTATTCACGTAAAACTGTGCAGGTGGCAAGAAGCGATTATCTTGGCTGATAACCATCAAGGCCTTGGGATAAACGACATGATGCTAAGTTATTCAATGCACATAATATCACCAGTGAAAATATGACTACATAAGGTTAAAGGTATTGCAGCAGCATAGCGACGCATACCCACTGACAGTAAGAAAGAATGTCACGTAAAATTATCGAAGAAGGGGCAATTAGGCCTCTGTAACAACTGGAAGCGAATCAAATTGTTGTCTACGCCCACTAAAATATAAGATCACCTCATACTGGAGAGAATAAAAGCAAAATGATTTCGGAACCCCACCGAATGGAACAAACAAGCCGAATTCCTCGAAGCCGAATTGTGTTCTTATCAGGTTGCAAATATATGAACAATCGTAGAACAAAGAATGGATACTCAAATCTTCCTCTACCTCAATTTCATCGACTCTAAAAAGCACTTCAATAGACACCATTGACCGTGGAATAATCTCGAAACTACTTCAACACTAGGGAGTGCAGTGATCCAAACCATCATCAACTTCATTCAACTACAGCTATATGACGATGGAACGAATCAGATGATGCACAACAGAAACCTCGGTGTGGCGTTTGAAATGAATACAGGATGAAGACAAGGCAATCTGCGTAATTGTGGTAGAGTGGACTTCGCGTCACACAGAGAGACACGAAGTATACGCCGGACCGTTAATGAGACTCTGGAAGATCTGGACTTCACAGATGGACGATTTGTGTCGTTGAATGTCACACGAAGTCGGAGACTTACAGGAGAAAACTAACGAACTGGTAAAAGAGGTTCGTAGAGAAGACCGGTGGACTCCAGGTGAAGATGGCGAAGACGGAGATGATAAATGTGTCCACATACCAACAACGAAAGCAACAAGCAGTACACACCACTGTGAACAGGAGAAATTTGAGATAGGCACTTTCCCTCACTTGTTCTGGAAGAATGGTTTCAACTGCAGACAGGAGGAACGGATGAAGGTGTCAAAGATGCCAAATAGCATCGGAGTAGCAGGGCAGCACACCTTCGCTGACTGTCCCCTTGTTGAAGATTGAATGGCCTGCTGGCCTGAGGGAATTTACAAGTCACCAAGTCACCCTCAAACCAACGTCCTACTCGTCGCTTCTCACTCGACTTATACTAGAGAGATGGCCTGCATTCAGCGTGATGTCATTCGACCATCAACTCAGCCTATGACGAATCCATCTCCATTTTCTCCCACATATTTGGTGAGTCAATAACTTCTTGGTTAGTTCTTGTTCCCATAGTTTATTGTTGTAAATTCCCTCAGGCCAGCAGGCCATTCAATCTTCAACAAGGGGACAGTCAGCGAAGGTGTGCTGCCCTGCTACTCCGATGCTATTTGGCATCTTTGACACCTTCATCCGTTCCTCCTGTCTGCAGTTGAAACCATTCTTCCAGAACAAGTGAGGGAAAGTGCCTATCTCAAATTTCTCCTGTTCACAGTGGTGTGTACTGCTTGTTGCTTTCGTTGTTGGTATGTGGACACATTTATCATCTCCGTCTTCGCCATCTTCACCTGGAGTCCACCGGTCTTCTCTACGAACCTCTTTTACCAGTTCGTTAGTTTTCTCCTGTAAGTCTCCGACTTCGTGTGACATTCAACGACACAAATCGTCCATCTGTGAAGTCCAGATCTTCCAGAGTCTCATTAACGGTCCGGCGTA